CCTAATGTGTTCTTACTAACACAGTCAATGTCTACAGGTAAATTCTAATGTGTTCTTACTAACACAGTCAATGTCTACAGGTAAATCCTAATGTGTTCTTACTAACACAGTCAATGTCTACAGGTAAATTCTAATGTGTTCTTACTTACACAGCCAATGTCTACAGACAAACCCTAATGTGTTCTTACTAACACAGTCAATGTCTACAGGTAAATTCTAATGCGTTCTTACTAACACAGTCAATGTCTACAGGTAAATTCTAATGCGTTCTTACTAACACAGCAAATGTCTACAGGTAAATTCTAATCTGTTCTTACTTACACGGCCGACGTTTACAGAGCAGTTAAATATTTGTCACTTTAATTGTTTTAGTGTCTGTATGTCCGTCAATTAACAACTTGTTTGACCCAAATCATACATCGAAATCGACTTTGCTTCTTTTTCCTTCTGAAGGATTAATGGTTGCAGAGACAATATCGTTTACTATTAATAACAAACATTTATAAAGAGACATACATCTGTTGTTTCCTACCTTGCTATGTGAGTTTGACAAGTTGAAACTTTTATCAAACATTTAACAAGTGTGTATTTTACAGAATCACGAATGGTGACCCTAACACATTCTGGCAGTCGGATGGGTCTGCTCGCTCCCACTGGATGAGGTAGGCTCATTCATGTATTGAAATTAATAGTTTACAAGACTTCAATTATCCATTTGTAATTTTAACAGATAATTGTATTGGTCTCCTTGGTAACAATTACATGAAGTTAAGAAATGAAGTTACCAAGTACGTAAACTTTTCATTGATGTTATATATATTAACATAAAGTAAATATGTTATTATAAACTCAAAATTTCAAGAAATTTATATTTTACAATAGATTTCATCAGAGATAAATCCTTAGACCACACTTTGGATTTTTATTTGTCAGTTAAGGAAACTTATGAAATTTAACAAAAGTAAAATTTGTATAATTGGGCAGACTGCATGTAAAGCACAATGTGGTAATAAAGAGCCTGTCCATCTCCGTGGCCTCGTCTGACTCCAGCTACATGCCTGAGGTAGTGTCGATTGCTGGAGGGAAAAGCTACAGAGGCCTCCGACCCATCAAGGAGGTGCGGATACCCAGGTATTGGCCACTGTCCTGTACAGATTAAACACTCATCCAACCTGGTACTGTATACATCATAAGATACTACATAAGACTGTACAGTATATAATACTGTCTACATAACATAATACTGTGTACGTTACATAATGCTGTGTACGTTACATAATGCTGTGTACGTTACATATTACTGTGTATGCTACATAATACTGTGTACGTTACATAATGCTGTGTACGTTACATAATGCTGTGTACGTTACATAATGCTGTGTACGTTACATAATACTGTGTATGTTACATATTACTGTGTACGTTACATAATACTGTGTACGTTACATAATACTGTGTATGTTACATATTACTGTGTACGTTACATAATACTGTGTACGTTGCATAAAACTGTGTATGTTACATAATACTGTGTACGTTACATATTACTGTGTATGTTACATATTACTGTGTAAGTTACATAATGCTGTGTATGTTACATAATACTGTGTACATTACATAATACTGTGTACGTTACATAATACTGTCTACATAACATACAACTGTGTACGTTACATAATGCTGTGTACGTTACATATTACTGTGTATGCTACATAATACTGTGTACGTTACATAATGCTGTGTACGTTACATAATGCTGTGTACGTTACATAAT